GTTAGATTATGAAGAATATGTTTAGGCTTGAGGAAATACCAATGAATATCACAATAACATCACCAGATACGTAAAAGTGCATAAATTTGACATGTGAGTGAACAAGTTGGAAAACACCTAGACCACATTTAGACGATTACATGAACACGTAAATCCATGCCCAAATATATGTTTTGTACATGCATGAACGAATGTATATTTGTTACTCTATATGCTCTACTACTTGGCATAACCTTCGTTGAAACCGTATGATCGTAGTTTTCTCGCCATAAGGCTATATGATATGGAACTCGTTGAAAAAGAAATCACCTAAAATCCATTTGGAATCTAGAGGAACTCAATATTTAGATATATTTGTAAATCTTACATGTTCATTATAATATTTAAAAGGTTGAACGTAATTCGACAGACCAAAGAAGAATCCGAGTACTGCAATAGTAGATTGTCAAATTCTGATAATCTACTATCAGGTGCTGCTGAACTCTGACAGTCGATTATCACAAAGTGACAATCGATTCTCAGAGGCTGCGGAACATTTGATAGTCGATTATCACCAAGTGATATTCGATTATCAGAGGCTCCAGAAGTTTGATTATTGATTATCAACAAGTGATAATCGATTATCAGGGGCTGCTGAATTTTTAGAAAGATTCGAAATCAAAATGCTTTCAGGTAAGAATCAACAGTTGAAATATGGATTAAAAACCGGGACTTAGCTTTCAATATAAGCCTTCGGGATCATAAGTCAGGCTCTCTGAACTTAGGATTTTGTGAACAAACCAACTTGACAATCGACTACCATTGGGTGACTATCACAGTCTGCAGGACTTTGGGGACAGAAGCTGCACAGCATGATAATCGATTATCAGCAGTAGACAATCGATTATCAGCCAGTTCTGAACCCAAGGTCATCATGTTGAACAAATTGTAATCAAACACATATGTATGTGTGGAATTTAACTTCCTTCTTCAATCAATGCATTCATTTCATCATGTTCATCCTAGACGTATGTCCTAGGTTCGTCATCATGTGCATATCGCTGTAGGGAGGTCAGGCTTTCGTGCACTTACTACAGTGGGCCCGTCCAGGAACCTTCGCGATCCAACGGGTTTTCATCAGGTGGGCTTTGTGTACGTACATGGTAGTCAGGTTACGGCTACCACCCGGTTTTTGCTAGTTCACTTGTGACGTTTTATCGAGCCCGGGTCATTACCGGAGTGCAGGGGTGATCCTGTCAAGTGAGACTAAGTCAGGGGTGTCCCTAATAGCGTAGTCTAACTCATGCATCATGAATCATCTAGCATTGCATCGTTTGTAAATAATTATGCAGATCTTAATTATCAAATTGTATGTGGTATTGCAAAACGTACTGCACTTCATATCCAACATCAGCGATGACAAGGCCAAGGTATTTATAATTGGATAATATTCCAAAATGAATCTCCATGATATGTATATGTGTTTCTTGTATCTTGCGCTATCTACTATGCAAGCATGAAAATTATGTGGCTAATGTGATGCGTAGTATTTAAGTATAAATATGTTATCGATCTCTCGCGTTATTGTACCACACAGCTTTATGCTGAGCGTGTAGTCTTTTTGTCTACACGTAGGTTGAAGCACAGATTATGTGAACCACCCGGAGGACGAAGAGACAATAGGATGGCATGCATGATTGACATGCATGATTTTCGACATGCATGATTTTCACAAGTTTTGCATTTGAAGTTTTGGGTTTGACCCACATCATTGTATTTGTATTATTTTTAGTCTTCCGCTATCTCCGACATTTTGTAAAAGGATCGATCCGAATTTAATATGTTATATTTTGAATTTTTGTCTTATGAATTTTATTTAATGATTTGGAAAAGTTTTAAAATATTTCTCCCGTTTCACCTTAATTCCTATAATTCCGGGTTATACGAATTGGGGTGTTACATTAGAAGCGGCTTCTCGAATTGTGTATGCCACATCTTCCAACATCACGTCACTTTCTAGTTTCTCCTTCAACTTTCTCTATCCATCTCTAACCATTCATTTAATTTTTTTATATGGCATATTTTCATTTGTACAAAAAAAAATAAGAAAACCTAATAAAAATAATTGACCAATCACTTTTT